GACGATTCAGCAAAAAAAGAGAGGAAGACGAGATGAGACGACAAGACGGGCACATCGTGCCGGTTTAGATACCTAGAGCCGCATGATTGGCTAATCGAAGAAAGCTTTTTTGTGCCTGAAGTTCACGATGTATGGTGACCCTGTTCATCATGACTCTATTTCTGTTGGTGTGGTGTTTCTGCTCTAAACCGTTTTCGTGACCAATATCCTCCTCCCATTCGTCTGATTGTGCGACCCGGGAAACACTAAAAAAAGGGTGGTCCCAAACGGGATCCGGTTCCAGCTACTGTGTCGGACTCGGTCGAGGGCTCACCCCTGGGACCTGTGGCCTCGGCTCCCCCTGACCTTTTCGTTGAGCGCCAAGATTAGTCCCATCCTCTGCCAAGAGGTAACATGTTTCTAGGTGTATTATGCGTTTGAGCGTCTTGTCTTCGAGGCCTGCTGAAGGGGGTTTTTCTGTGTCGTGCCGTCACGATGGGAGCGGATTGACTTTGAAGCTCTCGGAATCGAGCCTCGGTCCGGATGGGCTGGCGTCCGAACATGGGCCCCTCATTATCCAGCTCGCTCAAGAATCGCTAGACGACAGGTCCTCGGTAGCAGCCGGAAAGGCGGTCGGGATCTTCAGTCCGGGGATCCACCTCCCGATGGTCCCAGTCACGTACGCCTCCGGGAGGCCGAGCCGGGCGGAGGCTTCTTCGACGCCGCGGCTCATACGGTCAACGTACTCCGCGTTCGGCGGGCCGGGACATGTTCTCTCTCGGTCAATGTAGATTAGCACGCGGTCTCCTTTGAAAATTATCCTGTCGTCAATAGTTCTGCCGTCTTCGCTTTCGTTCGAGGCGGCGTGCGGGATAAAAAAGCTGGGATGGGCTTCGCTGCAATTGAGCTTCATGAAGTCGACCGTCATGTACTCCTTGGTGTAGGCGTAGGGAACGCCCTCACATCTGTCGAGGGAAGCCTCGTCTTCGGGGGATATCTTGTAGACGACGCCGTAGACGCCCGCGTCGTTGGCGACGTCGTCGGTGCCGTTTTGGACGACGTTGGCGTACCCTCGGCCGTTGATGATGAAAGTGTAGTTTCTGAGAATGGCCAGGCCGACGAGACGAGAGGATGGGCAGCGTTGTTTCATTTGGGTCGTGGACAGATTTGAGCCGTAGGCGAAGTAGTAGACAGACTTGTCGTTGGACATTATGCGTGTTCTGGCAGTTTTGATGATCCAGTCGACAAAATCAGGATCGATGTCTTGGATGGTCGTCATTTTCGCCACAAAGTTTGGTGAAGTAGAGATGCAATCCACATTGGAATGGAACCGGAGGGGTATATATGGAAGACGTGCAGCTCGCAGGGGTGTCTGTCTTTCTTTGTTGATAGGCAGGCTTTAACCGCGTCTTATGCAGGCAACCGTTGGTTGCCTCGCGACGTTTCTCCTGTGTAACTGCCTTTTCGACACCGAAAATAATAGGCATGCATTTCCGGAAGTTGCGCGACCCGGGTCATGTTGCAGCTTGATCAAGAATAGTAGAGTATCGTCACCAACGTCGACCACAGCCGATATATAGCAGCCATCGTGAGGAGACCTCACACGCTCAAAACATAACTAATGAATTCATTCACATTTCAATTCTGCGCGACCCGAACCGCCCTGAGCATTTAGTCTATGAAGAGACTATGATTTCTGCCGCTTGTTCGGCAAGAGCGTACACCGCTGCCTGGATGTGAGCCGTAATGATGGTCGGAAACACAGAAGCGTCCACAACCCTCAGGTTGGCCACTCCTTTCACCCGCAAGTCACCATCGACAACTTTGCCCATGGCACACGTTCCCATAGGATGATAGGTGCCGCTACGCAAACTGAGTTAGTCTATGCTCTTTACAGAGAAAAGGTCTCAACGCTCACATAACTGCTGCGCGAATACGTGCTTCAATCTCCTCATCGGTAGAATCCATCGTGAGCGCTTTCAAGCCGGCGGGCGGCGCTTCGGCTTCGACGATCCCGCGGCTAAGAGTCGATTCGCCGCCGACCATCATGCGGATCATGCGACGAATCGAGTCGCGCCATACGAAGCGATCAACCTCGGAAGCGAAGAAGTTGGGGTTGATCAGAGGAGGCGTTCCTGGGTCGCGAGAGGCGATGGTGACGGAACCGCGGGAGGTGGGCAGGAGCCCAACGTTGGCGGTTGTCAAGTAGGTGTAGTTCGACGGCAGACTGGGGTTAGTGTTGACATACAGCACGAAAGCCTCCATGAGAGTTCTCTCGTCCTTGAGAAGAGGGTGTGTTTCGGCATCTGGCGCCTTGCCTTCCTCACTGCCGATCGCCTCGACGAGGCCGGTCTTATCTTCGACGTTGAAAGACGCAACGAAGTTGTTTGGCTGTCCGAGTCCATATTCCGGCTTGAAGAACAGTGGGTTACCCGAGTCAACGGTGGCGTTGCGATACTCAGGGGCAAGCCTCCAGTTGGCAATAAAGAAGGGATGGTCAGCAAAGTTCTTCCCAACCTCGGGCAAATCGACCTTCTGCTCAATGCCATGCTCCTTCAAAACATCGGACGGGCCGATGCCAGAGAGCATGAGCAGCTGGGGTGTGCGGTAGGCACCCGCAGCAGCGATGACTTTCTTGCCACGGATCTCGGTACTATTTGCAAGACGAACACCGGTTGCAACAAGATTCCCCAAGTTGTCCTCGTCAATGAGAACCTTCTCTACCAAAGTGCCTGTCATGACGGTTGCACCGTCATGGGGGTAGTATTCAGGAGTAATCTGGCGGACTCCATTACGGCGGTTCTCAGAAATCTCACCAACGCCAATGTTGGAGCCTCCGTTGGCATCCAGTCCTGGCAAAGCCTCGATTCCAACAGACGCATACGAGTCAAGAACGGCGTCCCGGAGAGGGTACACACGGCCAGTGACTGATGGAACCTCAATCTTCAAGGGTCCTTCCTGGCCATGCTGGTCGGGATTGACGTCTCTTGTCCAGTACTCTTCAGTCCGTTTAAAGTACGGCAGCTGGCTTTCATAGCTCCAGCGAGAGTCGTTCACCAGTTCGGCCCACTCGTCATAGTCGACTCGAGCACCACGCATCCATCCGCCTGTCCAGTAGATCAGCACACATGTCGCTCACTCGAACTGGGATACTTGCAGGTATTGATCAGGGAACCACCGCCGAGACCTTTGCCAGCAGCCATTTGAATAGTGCGGTTGTCGAGCTGCGGCTGCGGTACGGAATAGTCGTTCCAGTCAAAGTCGCCCTGGATCAGGTTGGTGGAATTGACATAGAGAATGTCTGAACGACCAGCCGCACTCTGACCAGCCTCGATGACGAGAATCTTGGTTGAGCCATTCAGCGCAAGCAATCGGCTGGAGACGACAGTGCCGGCGAGGCCACCGCCGACGACGATGTAGTCCCAGACTTCCGTGGGAAGCATTTTGACAAGCTGGAAGGCAATATAGAAGACTTGGGTACTACGTCGCAGCGAACCTAATATCCAGTGTCTAGGCCGCGGCAGAAGAGACGTTGCGGTGAGTCGCGATACGATAGACTTGGCGGAGGTAAGAAGAAAACTTCGCCGAGAGAACATTAATCTGTGTTCATGAGAACAAAGTCCCCGGCATCGAGCGGGTCTCTCAATCATGTTGACTTGGCGCGACGTGGCTAAGTAACGCACCACCTGGCTGGGATTCTTCACAGAACACCGCAAATATCCGTACGAAAGAACGCCATCCTCATATAGGAACTATCGAACGGATTTATGATCAAAGTTCACGCTGTGGGTCGCTCGGTCCAAAGTTCCAAAATCAGATCCCGTTGGCTCACCCCTGAACGAACCCCTGTCGCTGGAGTGGCGAGCATCTTGAAGGCGTTATGATGTTTACTGGTGGTCGTAAACGGGTTTTGAGTCTTGATGTCTTAGCAAATCCATCTGAGATCATAATATTGTAGTTGTCAACTCCGCCGCCTGCTACTTCGCAATACATCAATCATAAACAGAAAGCAGCGTTTCTCAATTGCACGTAGTCCATGCCCCTTGCAATTCTCAACACCCTAGAGCTTTCACATCCTGCAGGGTTTCCACTCTTTAAAGAGAGAGGTTGGGGAGTCTTGATCATTGACCCCTTTGGTTCGCTCTTGTTACTGTGACAACCAAACTCGGCTTCTGACCAGATTCATGACTTTGAAAGTGGTTCCAGAGCCGGGGATCTCCGTATCTACAACCATTGATCTGATATATTTCTAACTTTTCGCATTTCATATCTTGATATCGTTGCCTAGTATGATCTCAGAAAGCGCCTCTGCATCACACTTGGGGTTTCTCGAGAACTGACAAATTGTCGATCGCAAAAGATGTAGTTTTAACAGCAAGATGACCGTATGCAGTTTCGACTAGTGTCAAAATAAAGGGCATTATATAGAATAGTCGGAGCCGTTCAGCTCACGTGTTAACGGATCGAACTGATTCTTAGCTACTTGAAGTCGTCGTCCGGGGCGGTAATATCGCAGACAATGAGATCGATGACTCTAAGAATGGGCCACTGTGCGATGTGAAAAAAGAAGTCACGGGGGAAAACCTATGATCTCACTTCTAATTTCAAAAGTGGTCGATGGCCATGCTCGATCTTCTCAATTGGTGTTCTGTATCTTTCCTTTGCGCCCAAACTGACCAACGGCATCTTCAGAAAGCCAGCCTTACTGCATGCCTGACGATAAGTATGCAATATTTCTACCTGCCCAAAGTTTCTCTTTTTTCATTCGCAGCCATTGACCTTGGTCCACAAAAGTGGTCTCGTTGCGAGCGCATTCATGCATGTTGGTGTTTGTTGGTGCATGCTTCCCCTGTAGGCCAAGAAGAGGACGCCGGGGATCTTGTTCCGTCTGGTTAAAAGTCCGAGTTACCCCGCCATATCTTCTTCAATGGATTCTTCGTTGTCTCTTCTTCAACATTGGATACTGGTAGTCATTATTCGTGGCGACACGTTACATTTAGTCATTTAGTGAAACGATCAAGATGGCCCAACCGCAGCTCAACCCCGAGGTGGTGTTGGCAGTCGATGAGGTATTTGTATTCTCAACTGTAAATATCTCATAGGCTAATTGGCTTCCAGAATGATGATAATAGGTCTGAACTTGGGAGCGTGAGTTTGAGCCTCAAGCTGACTTAGGAATGCTACCTTTGTGCTTATGTGGAATCTCATAGAGCATCGCCTCATCGAGCACGAGCCTGCGCAGCTCCCTCCTCGATTACCGCGTGGAGAATGGTCGCACTTACCATCGGTACAAGGACGGAAGTCAGTCCTCTGTTCTGGCAGCGAGAGTTTGATGTATTCTGACAGTTGTACCAGAATACAATCTTCCCAATGATGAACGAGAGAGCGACAGAATGGGTAAATTGGTCCTATGAACCGAGGAGACTCAAGCTAAGTACTTGAATAGACCTAGTCCACCAGCTGTGGCTTCTCACGCTCGATGATCGACTTGGTGTTGCCCCGCCATGCAAGGAAGGCACCACTGTCGGCCGAGTCCTTGACGTCGGAACGGGGACAGGGATTTGGGCTCTGAATTTTGGAGACGAGCACCCAGAGGCTGACGTAGGTGTTTCTATCGGCTCCCTGCTACCAACCTTACGCGATAGCTTTGTCCCTAGCTGACAAGATGCCTTTGAATAGGTCTATGGAAATGATCTGTCTCCGATCATGCCCGGCCAGTGAGTATAGTCTTTCAAGGGGCTTTACAACTCTAAACTGCGGGATCTACTGACCATCCTAAATCTAGTGTCCCGCCGAACGTTAAATTTGAAGTCGACGACATTGAGGAGGAGTGGTTATGGTCCCGGCCCTTCGAGTACATCCATAGCCGACTTATGACTTCGAGCATTAGCGATTGGGAGGTGTATCTGCGAAACTGTTACAAGTGAGCTACAATTTATTCCTGACCATACATTGCCTGTACGTACGACTGACTCGATTGTGAACGTGCTAGCAATATTAAGCCTGGCGGTTACCTTGAACTGCAGGAGATGGACCTCTTTCCCCGCTCCGACGACGGAACACTCAAAGCTGACAGCGCGTTCTTGAAGTGGGCAAACTTCCTTCACGAAGCTTCCGTCAAGTTTGGGCGCCCTTATGTGGAGATTGCTGAGATTAGAGATCTGATGGCTAAAGTCGGCTTCGAGGATGTTACCATGAGCGTCTATAAATGGCCGTCGAACAGTTGGCCAAAGGACACTAAATACAAGGAACTGGGGATCTGGAACAATGAGAACGTTCTATCCGGCCTCGAAGCCTTCTCCATGGCGCCATTTACCCGCGCCCTGGAGTGGAAGCCTGCAGAAGTCAGCGTTTTCCTCATTGATGTGCGCAAGGACGTCAACGACAGAAGTATTCACGCTTACTGGCCAATGTTTGTGTTGAGATTATCCCACAATGATAGTGTGCTAACAGACTTAGGTATTGCGTTGTCGGCCGCAAGCCGGAAGCCCCCGCTTCACCTGCTGCTGCTTGAACCAAAAGTTGAAGGATCTCGGGTCCACCAGCTTTGGCATATGCGAAGAGTTTCCTCACCTTTACTATGGATTTTCTACACAACAATAAAACACGCTCTCTACAATATATGTTGATATGCTTGTGAATTGTAAACCCACTTGCTATTTCAGAAAGAGGGGCGGGAGCGGCCACGAAGCCAGTGATAAGCTCAAGTAAAACTACGGCCATCCTTGTCACGCCACAAGTCCATCATATATTCAGAGAAATTTGATTATAGAAAGAAGTCAGCTTTCAAGTTGGTTGGCTATATCAGTGGAGCTGCTCACTGAAAATGTTTCTGCCTAGAAGAGCCATGTAAGAGCAGGGATTTTGCCCTGGAACGGCTGCTGGACATTGAAGCAGCGTTCTTGTCCTTGCCAACCAAATCGACTCCGCATCTGCACAGAATCCCCAGAAAATTCTGCGGGAGTCGCACGCCGAATCATCACGCTCGCAGTGGCGGAGACTCGGCCGGTCCACTGGACTCCCAACCAGAAGACAGCCCATACTCGCATGCAGAGACTGAGCTTACTGCGTGCCATGCCGGTCCCGTAAAAGTCCCCAAGGAGACCTTTCCACCAACAAGAAGCCCCCGTTTAGGATGAAAACTCGCCGGCCACGTCTAACCCGCCGAGGAACAACCCTCCGATGCACGGGTGAAGCGATTCCCGGCTTCGCTGTCAGCTGTGCCGGGGAACGCGCATGCGTGATGGTGTGAAGCGTTGTGTAACACAGCATTTGTATGGGGGCCAGGCCACAAACGCGCGTTTAACTCGACAGAGAGACCCCGCGGCGCAGATCGACGGTCACACCAAATTGCCGCAGCGCAAAGGAACCATGACAGGTCGTCTTCTCAAACGAGCATTATTCCAGGCCTTTTCTTCTAATCTATTCTGCCGGATTCAGCAGCTGGAGTTTCAGGCTAAACAGTGCTTTGGATGATCTAGGACCACTCGGCCCTGCTATGCAACTCCACAAGAAGTCCGAGGGTTCGGGATTAGTCCGCCGTTTTTCGGGGTTGACAGACCCACTCAGCCGGGCCCTCGGGCCCGGATTTGACTCATCCCACCATTTACCCCTAAACTTCACCCAAACGATGATCTTATGATACAGGTCTAGTGCGTAGCTGGGGTTCCAACGGGGCTCCATGTCATGTAAATCTCCTGATTCGATCTGCCATGTTTGATTCGCCAGTAGAACGTCACCAAACGCCCAATTACGGTTCTCCGACACCATCAACTCCTGAAAAGTCTACGATAGTCCTGCCAACCACGAGCTCGCTCTCGCCTGGGTACATGCTATTACTCTGCGGCTCATTCTCACACGATGGGTAACGTTGCAGCGGGCGGGACCTCTGCTGGGCTCTCTCTCTCTCGCGCGCGCGCGATTATAATCATGACAACATGAGCGCGCGCGCGCATGACAAGCATAGCAAAGGCACCACCGAGCTCAAGGCAGCGACATTTCGAACATGAAGACGTACCTGGGTAATTGGGCAGCAGACCTTATGATAAGCGGCGTTGTCCGTCTCTCATTGGCCCGAGAACGACTGGTAAGAAAGTTCCTGACGTGAGGACGGGTTGCGGACCCGCTGTGAAGACAAGGTGGCATGCACCCCTCCTGCATGGCCGTTCTGCCGGGATGCGGCACGTAGTCCACGCACTGCACCCACAGACAGACGAGACAGTTCGAGCAAGGTCTCTAAGCCGGTCGGTCCCTGGATATTCCGAGGAAGATGGTTCGGGAGGTGTACCCTTTGCATGTGCTCAAGTGTTCAATTTCAAAGTCCGAAGATGCCTGTGTAACAATGCCTTTGCGCCTGCCCAATGTGCCTAACCTAGTCCTAACACTTGACGCCATGCCAAGTCCGTGGCCAAATCATGTGTGGTATCCCCTTTGCCGCCAATGTCACGTCCAGACCGTTACACATGCGCCAAGTCTAACAGAGGGCATCCGTACGCATGCTCCCTCAGCAGAGCCCTGAGAAGAGCACGCTCGTCTTGCTGCCGGATTCGCAGACCTCTCGCGTCCAGGAGTTTGCACAGAAAAAGTTCCTTCTCGGTGAGGAGATCGACATGGTCGGGCTCGGGCCCAACGATCAGGGACAGACACTGCCCGTAGTAGCCGCGATTAAAGAGGATGCCCATCGTGACCAGATCCATCTCGCAGAGCTTGGACATGACGGACCCCACAAGACACGCCCATATCATGACTGGTCTCAGGGCCTCCATGGACGGCAAGCCATCGTCGAAACCACCTTCGCCGTCATCTGCTTCCCTAGACTGCCGTTCTTGTAGCTTTTGCGTAACCTTGTGCACCGATGTTGAGAGGAGGTTCAGGGGCACAGAGTAAACCATTGGGTTGCGCGGCTCGTCTGGTACAATAGTCTCAAGGTAGACAATCGCAGCAGTGCGCAGAACCGGCTCGAGAAGATTCTCCGCCGGAGAAGGCACCGGTTTGGTCGTGTATAAACTGCGTACCATGGCCGCGGCGACGGCTTCCGAGTTCCCGAGGTCGGCGGCGAGGGTGAGCTCGTCGAGCTCCCCCAAAGAGTCGTTGAGGCAGTCTTCACGCAGTGCCCCGCCGTATAGAACAAGCTGGTACTCACACCAAAGCCATTCTTCAATAAAGGCTTCTGGGTTGAGAAGAACTTCCCGGTTGGGGCTCGCGAACGCCAAGCGCAGCACGCCGGCGAACAGAGCTGTTGATATCATGGCATTGATGAGGTATGACTGGAGCCCGCACGGGTAGAGAATGTTGGACATATCATTGACGATTCTCGTACGAAGCTGATGCGGTAGTGCATCCGTAGTTGCATTGAAGAACCTGGGATAATCAAGGTATGGTAAGAGGCCCAGGTAGACGGCCCCTTTAACGTCAGCTCTACATCGAAAAGGTCAGCAAAACGTCACCTAAGCCCATAGGGTAACTTGCCTTCGTATCATGTTCAAGAGAAAGTTCCATTCCCTCTTCATTCCCCCCTCTAGTTCGATCAGGTGCTTGAGGCCCTGCATATGAACCTTCCAATGATCGTATCTTCCCACGTTCCAACCCGTGATGGCTAACTGAGCAACACATTCAAGCATCCCTTGGTCGAAATCTCTCTTGGTTCGGTCTGAAAGCCTGTCATTGACCAAACTACACACCTTGGAGACGTGGTACAGCAGCTCGGGAGATGACCATTCGCCCTGTAGAAACATCTCCGCGTAGCAGGCCGTCATGAGCACGGCGTTCAGGCTCGTCTCGCTGGACTTGATTCTTTCGATGAAGGCAGAGCCTCGAACCGGGTTGTGTTCAAGAATCTGCTCGCACGGGTACATCTTCGTCGGGGCCAGCTTAAGATAGAGTTGCACGAGACACTTCTCCCTCTCGGAAAGATTTCCCATCCACGAGGCCAGCCATGGGATGGGGCTCCGGGGAATGCGTGACGTCTCGTCAAACTTGGCAGCCTCGACGATCCCCTGTTGTGCCGGGGTCTCTCTGACGAAGACGGGCTCTTGGGCTTTCTTCGATGCCCTGGCTTTACGCACCCGGTGCTTTTCATCATCCGACGAGTTGTGAGAACTCTTGCTGCGTTTTGACACGCTTCTGCGGGGCTCTTTAGGTTGGCTCAAGAACTTGTATTTTTGTTCCAGCGGCCGCGAGGGGTCTATAGCGGTAGCTTCCTCGTGGCTTGAGTCCGAAGCCGCGGAAGTATTGATGAACTGGGTTCCCTGGTGTTTCGACTTGGAGACTTGGAGCCCCCTCCGCGTTGAGACAAGATTCCCATTGTGGACAGTGACGTTGAAGTGGTCCATGTTGGTAACAAACATTGCAAAGAGGTATGCAATTGATGGCTGCTGAAACTCTGCAGCCCTAAAGGCCGACTTAACTTCAAACATGGTCTAACATGATGGATACAGACAACTCTTTATGGCATCACTTCCAAATGAGTTGTCTGTTCACTTGGAGAATCACGTATGCTTCGCCAATGGGATTGACCTATCGTGGAGATGGACAACGTCGTGCATATTGACTGGCGGCGGTTCCCAAAGCGGAAATGTTTCCTCTTCGGGTGCCGGTGCGGAGGATTCTTGGTATAGAGACTGTTGCGCCTGCGAGATGCATGGTTGCGTGCGGGGAGCGACGTAGCTTGTCGAACCACGAAACATATTCGAATGGAGAGTTGTCGATTAATCTTTGCAAAATGCTGCTGCCTGGCTGATGTCTCCGGACCCTGGCTGCAGTTCCCGTGGAAGACCGGGGTCCGGCATGACACCCACCCGACGTCGCCCCCCGGCCGGCCTCTACGGACTGGAGTTCTAGAGCTGTCGAGCACCTTCGTGAGCCATTTCCAGCCCCCACTACCAAAGGTGTGACGCAGTGAGAAGCTAATCGTCCCTGGTCGTGGGCGACGTTGAATGCACGTCAGACGTTAGGCACAACGAGAGGTTTTTACGTCCGTAGACCGCAGGCCCAAACGGGCGCCCTGCTCAGCCAGTCAATCAACGGAACTCGCTCCGTCCCGCAGTGCTCCTCTCCACACCCTGCTCATTATCTTGTATTTCGGCTCACAAGTCGCTGTATTTTGGGGCAAAGGTCGGCCCTATGGACACGGGGCGCTTATTTGAAATCTCGTGTTACACAAGCGCGCATACCCAGGATTCCTTTACGCCTCCGCCCGATGTCTGTGGCTGTCCGCTGTCTCGATCACACCGGACGTCAGGATCCAATGCCTCGAGCCCGAGACACGGCACCACAGCGAATTGCTGTCCATGGCGGTGACGATGTCAGCGTTACATCTCTCGTTGTGCTAATAGAATACCTGGCCCTTCATCAACACCCGCGCAGTACGGTGGAGATCTGCTGATTTGATTTTGCTGCCCTCGAAGGTGGTCCCAATATCCACCTTCCCACTCGGATGCCCGATAACGACAGACTTTCTTGGCCTGCTGTCAACAATCTGGGCCGCAATAGTTTCCGGTATCTGACTTGCCGCTCCGAGGCACAGCGCAAGTGTCAGGGGAACAGCCTTGTGGGCCTGTCCCATAGACATGGCCAGGCAGCGAATATCGACATCGGGCGAGCGAGTATCGGAGAAGAGGAGTACGATCTTGGGCACGCTCTCCACATCAGGATCCAGGCCCATCGCAGAAGCACCTGCACGCCGAATCTCGTCCAAGAAGGCCTTCAAGTTTGGATCTGCTTCAATGGCCTGAGGCGTGAGGTCCTCGGCAGAGGGAATCCCCAAATCAGAGGCGCGGACGAAGACGCCAGGGTTGCTGACATCCACCAGAGATGCCTTTATGGACCTGTCGTTCGATAACTGCAGCCAATCGCAAGCATTGCCCGTAGGAAGGGCCTTGCCCGTCTTGGCCCCGGCAGGATCCAAGAAGCTCAAGGTGATAGGTGAGTTGGTGCCAGGAACACCGTCCATAGTGTAGTCGCCATCGGGGCAGTATCTTGGCGGATTCCCGTCGACTCTGAAGCGGGAGAGAATGACTTTGGATGTGTTGGTGTTGAATATGCGCACGGTAGCATACTTATGGCCGTCAACCTCCTGGATCTGAGGATCGTCAACCAGAGACTCATCCAGGCTCATTGGACCAACGGCAGACGACATGTTGCCGCAATTCCCTGCCATATCTAAGCTGCCATCCGTGATGCCGACCTGGACGAAGGTGTAGTCCACGTCAACATCGGGTCGGGACGGCGGTGATAGTACGATAATCTTGGAGGTCGAGGAAATGCCGGAGCCGATGCCGTTCAACTGTCGCCCGTAAGGATCCGGGGACCCCATGGCGGCCGGGAGGACGGTGTGCCAATCATTTTGCGGGGGCAGGTCCTTTCGGTGGATGATCAGGCCGTTGGACGTGCCACCACGGACGAAGATGGCGGGGAATGAGCGTGACGAATGTAGACGCGTCGATATCGTGGCGTTGAAGGGGCACAGTAGTCCGACAGATCGCCGGGGTTTTGAGACGACCTGAAGAATGCCACATCGGGCATAGGCCAGCATTGTGTGGCACTGGAGAAGCTTGCTGTCGCCTTTGAAGCTGAAATGAAATGATTGGCAAATGCAACCAATGATTTCACTTGGATTGCTGCTGCCAGGGGTCTTCGTTAAGTGTCGTTTTTGAATCTGCATGAAGTGGTTGGCAGAAGAAATGCGTGGCTCGCAAGCTGGAAGTTGAGGTTTAATTATGGCACAAAAGTACGGGTTGAAAGCCAGCAGTCACAACCGTACCGGTCGTACAGGGGTCTTGTTGGGGGCGGCACTTCACTGTAGGGCAGGCAAGCTACGGGCAGGGTACTAAGCAGTTGCCAAGCCGGGAAGCTCAGGCTCGACCCCGATGCCGAAACCGATCATGCTTCCCGTCCCGTCGTGGTGGGCACACTCTCTTTCGACATTTCCCGTAGCACACAAACGACCCTTAGTTCGAAAAGCAATGATCTATTTGATAGAAGGGGTATGCAGAGAACGATTGCAACAACATGCCAATTGTACTCAATCAAAGGATGAGATGGCCGGCCGATACATGTCCGATTCGGCACCGAAGCGAAAGCCACCCGGAGTTGAGAGGCTTGTAAGACCGTCTGATGTTCGAGTCCCAGGAGTCTGGAGATAAGCACCAAGCGTCCGGATGTGTGTTCGCGTTACAGAAAACAAGCTTAAACGGCCTTGAATGAAATCCGTGTCTATAATAAAGTGGTGTATCCCCTCATCCCGTCTCATTGATCCCTCAATGAACGACATCTGATCACTTGCCGCTCACCGAAATCACACTTAAAGACCATTCACCACAATGAACCCATACGTCGAAGTCACCCTCAGCTGGCTCCTCAAAAGCTCCCGCGGCCACGACGCAAAGGCCTTCTACACCTCCCCGGCCTTCGCCGCCCACAAGGAGCAGACCCTCACCGTGACGTCCCCGGACTGCGGGCCCTCGCCCGCGGAGCTCCGGCCCGAGTACATCAACGAGGGCGGCGGCCGCATCCCCGCCCTCGCGTGGACGGCGCCGCAGGACGTCGAGGCGCGCGTCAAGGAGTGGCTCATCGTCTCCGAGGACCCGGACGCGCCCCTGCCGACGCCGATCTGCCACGGGTGAGAGAACCTCTTGTGTTGTCTGATCGCACAAGGGAGAGAAACGTTTTTGCTGACGGTGAGAGTGTAGAGTGTATGGTGGCATCCCGCCTGAGAGGAGGGAGGTCACGGCCAAAGATTTCGAGATTGAAGATGAGAAGAAGTCGCTGCTCAAGGGCGGTTTTCACTGGGGCAAAGGGCGGCGGGAGGGTGTCTACGTTGCTCCGAGGCCACTGATGAACCATGGTCCTCACAGATGTGAGTCTTTTCGCCACTTAATCCTGCTGAAATTGATTGCGTATTGACACTTGCAGACTTCTTCGAGGTTGTGGCGCTGAGTGAGCCGCTGGACAAGTCGATGCTCGAGGCCCGAGCAACGAAAGAGCAGGTCGCGGAAGCCATCGACGGCAAGGTCTTGGGTTGGGGTTTGTGGATTGGAAGTTGCGAGAGGAGGTGGACTTGAATGCCTGAGGGCCCTTGCTCACACATGGTCTTCAAATCACTAGAGAGCCGCCTTTAAAGCTGTACATTTTGCATTTTATCCACCTACTTGAATCGCCTCACCTAATACCACCGAGTTGCCCTCGAACCATCTGTTACTCGGTCTGCTCTCAACAGAACAAGAAGGGATAAAAGCAACGACGCACACCCACTCGAAATCATGCGGATTGAACTCACCCATACGCCGGCTTGTGCTCGGGAACCCACTTCTGTGAAAAGGAACCCCCCCCCCCCCCCCCCCCCCNGACCCCCCCCCCCCCCCCCCCTACGAAAGCCCCAAAAAGTTGGGCTCCCCCGCGCCCCCTGCGGTCCAGTCAAAGTCGTCCATCAGCATCGACCAGTCGATATCCTGTAGCAAGTCACTCGTCGGCAACACGTTGGCGTTATTCGCATCCGTCGCCGCCGCTGCCGCCAGGTCAGCAACACTGCCTCCAACAAGCCCCGCCCGTCCCCTACACTCACGCGTCGCTCCCGCCGCGCCCCCTCCCACCCCTCCTGCTCCCGCTCCCACCCCTCCGCCCGCCTGCCCTCCGGCGCCACCGCCCTGCTGTCCCATCCTCGCCTGGTCCAGCTCCTTCTTCCACCGCCGCAGCGTCCCGAACGCCAGCACCGCGCCCGTCCGGTGCGGGTACCGCGAGATGGGCGCCTCGAGCGGCGGCATGATGTGCCGCAGGCTCCAGTACGACTCCGTCATCCGCAGCACGCGCATCGCGAAGTCGCCCTCCTGCACAGAGCACCGGCGCAGCGCCTCCTGCGAGTTCTTGATCGAGACCTCGGCGTTGGCGAGCTCGAGGTCCGTCGCGTGGCCCGAGAGGAGGACGTCGAAGACGACCGTCGCGGCGTCGAGCACCGTGCGGAAGACGTGCTGCGGGGCGTGGTACAGGAACCGCTGGGAGCTCTCGAGGCGCAGGGCGAGGTTGATGATGGCTTGCGCCGTGCTGTATGCGCGGTTCACGTTGTGGCGGAAGGTGGATTTGTCGGCGGTTGACAGGGGTATGAAGTAGTACGACTGGAGTTCGAACTGCACAGCCAGAATGGTAAACAGGTCCAGGTCTGCCGTGTTGTTAGTTATGTTCGTTTGATGGCAAGGGTTCCGCGTACCCGTGTTGTGCCGAGACTGCAGCTGCCTCAGCTTGTTCAGCTCATCCTCCAACAACTGTATGACAGAGTCCGAAACGCCCTCGCCCTCCTCGGCCACGGAAAACATGGTGCGGTTCAGTCGATTCGAAAATTTTTGCATCTCATACAACAAACCAAAATACCCCAAGGCATCAGGCAGAGACCTGCCGCCGGCCGCCCGGTTCACGGCTTCGTTGAAGAAGCCTGCGGGCGGGGGCAAGCCATTGCTCGAAGCCACCCTGATTTCAAGTCAGCCAACCAACGACTCGACACTCGACACTCGACACTCGACCATACCTCTGCGCCTGGATATTATATCCCATCCAGGCAAAGCACGCTTCCTCGTCCGTGATATCCGTCTGACGGTTCGGCCCAATGCAAAACTCGGGATGAGTGCCACGCCCCGTATGCAGGCCAAGCAGCAACGCCGCATTCTGCGCGATCGCCACGTACGAAGCGGACGGGTCGTTTAGGAATCGTATTGTCGGCAACGGCCATGTACACAGGACCAGGAGCGCGTTGATGGTCGATATGCTTATCGGCGGGTTCGACACTGCGTTCCACACCTCCTTTGGCAGGTTTTCAACCAGGAACTGAAAGAGGCCGGGGTCCTTGGCGTACCGCCTCGACGAAACGGCAATGATTGTCCAAAACAGTATGGGGCTCAGCTTGTACAGCTTATCCGGGTCCTGGGACCGTACAATAGGGAAGTACGGGTGGAAATGTTCAAAATAGCTGCACATTCATCAGCGCTGCGAGCTCGCGTTTACAGGAGGAGGGCGAACTTACGTGTCGAAATAGAAATCAATATCCTCACTCGACAGTACCTTGGAACCCAAAGCCCTTGGCTGCGCGGGATGCCGCGGCGGTCCAGTCGGCGTCGTGTGCGACGTCAACGTCGGCGTGGGGACCTGCTCTGCCGTGCGGGAGTGAGGAACAGGCGACAACGCAGGGAGACTCACGCGACCGGCACTCGGAGGCGGCCGGTCCGCGAATGCGCTTGCGGGATACGCCGAACTCGGGCTCGGCAGCGGAAGGGCAACCGGGGGAAGCACGCCGGCGGCGGAGACGGGACTGGGATTGACGGCATTCTTGATCGTCTGGACCTCCTTCTCGAGTTGTTCGAGCTTACTGCCAAGGTCACACGAGCACGCATCAGATTACAAGGTTCCTTGCCTCATTTGAGATGAACTTGAAGAGAAACGGCAGGGGAAAGGGAAGGGAAGAGCAAGCAACCTTCTCCTGGTTATGCGCTTGTGGGACTTGTCAATGACACATTGGATCCCGAGCTTCGCGCAACGCTGACACGGCTTGTTCGGCGTCAGGCTTGCATTGCATTTCACCTATTGCGGTCGTTCCAACGGCTCCAATTAGCGACGATGTACTTTTGTCTTGAGAACATGTATATGTATTACACGGCAAACGAGACAGGCTGGGAGGCTGAGGGTTTGATAACGTGGTACCTGAGCATGACACGGCGACGTCGGAAGACCAATTGGAAGTGAATCCGGAGCTGTATCGCGCAGGTACAGTGCACATGCGGGGAGGAGCAGCCATGGCTGAGGGAACAGAGAGGGAGATTGTAATTAATTCATCGAGGGAGTCAAAAGGAACGTGAACCCACCTTGGAGTCTCGACAACTTGTGCAGGCTGTATTACGCCGGATCCGGTTCGGCACGGGGGGACTGGGCGAGGTATCCCTATGTGCCGAGCCGGGGCTCTTGAGCGGCGGGTCCATGAGTTTGTTTGGTGTTTTGGGGGTTCCCAGGCGGCAGTGGTCGTGCTGCGGCGGCGGTGGTGGTGTAGGGGGCGCCAACGCGTGCGTGCACCGCGTAGCGCAGCGCAGCGCAACGCAACGCAACGCGCCGAAGTGACGTAAGGTAGTCCTCAGCCCAGGTAGTCCTCAGCCCAGGTAGGTGTACCTTGGGTAGATAGTCTAATTTATTCCTTTGTGCAGGGCGTAAGTGCGCGGCTCCTCTGCATCCCGTCGTTCCCGGTTGGATTTGCGGCTTCGCGGGAGGTTGAACTGACTGTGACGATGGGAAGTGGAGAGTTGGGTGGGTGGAATTCGGTGCGGTTTCGGCAAAAGAAAGATAGGACGGGGGAGCGATGGATGGATGATAAATATGGCGCTGCTCAGTGGACTCTCGCTGACTGCTGACTGCTACTTGGGAGGGAGGAGGAAAAAGAGGAGGCAGGCGTCATGGGTTCGGTTCACTCCATCGATCACGTGCGCTGACGACCTCGAAGGATTCCGGCAGTGCCTTGTCGCAGGACAAAGAGCCAAACCGCAAACCGGAGTCTGGGCTTTTGGGGAGGGTGAGAAACATCGGATTGCCAGGAGCTTCTTTTCGGCAGTCAACGATGCACATTTTGCATGTCCGACATGACTTTGGTGATGACTTCTTGTACTCAGAGTGAGATGGAATTCAGAGTGAGATGCGTCGTGTCACGATACGTGATATCTACAATCGTTTGATGCTAATACAGCATTCACTATACGCCCGTCCACCAACCATTGGCGTGCGTCCATTACCGCCCACCGCCCGAGACCCCTTTGATTCCATTTTATGTCTGCCAAACCATCCGCTGTCGTAGACATCATTCTCTCTTTAGAGGACGGAAGCCCAGTCGACTTCTTCTGGCGAGCCTTGCAGACTGCCCGTCTTGTCTCTGCCATCTACTCTTTTCCGCCTGCCCCTGCTAGATCTGCACCTGTGACCGTCGTGTCCTCACCTCCGCCGGGATTGGTCCAACTCATGTCGCCCATGTTCGTCAGCATGCTCCATGGATCGATACCGCCTACAGCTTCAAAATCGATAAAGGATATCGGGTCGGCGCTGGGTGCATATTGCAGCCCCCTCGAGTCCCATGTCGACGCCGCCGCGCCCGACACTTGTGCTTGGATGCTGGTTATGTCAATGATTTCATTGACGTTCCCGTTCGTATTAGTACTGCCACCGGTGCCATTGATGATGCTGCCGCTGCCGCTGCCGCTGCCATTGCTGCCCTGGAGACCGTCTTCCGGTGTAGTACTTCCCGCTCCGTATCCAGGCGTAGTGCTACTGCTGGCTACCGAATGTGAGGGGGTGCTCTTGTTGAAAGCGGACGGCGGCGACGGCGATGTTGAGTTCGTGCGGTGAGGCAGCGTCAGATGCGGAGAGGACCCGCTCTTGGGCATCATTCCCGTATTTCTAAGGAAGCCCACCGCAAAGCCTCCGACGCCGTCGATTCCATTGCGCGATGCAGGCGGCGCGTTGTTCATATTCTTATTTGAAGGGAATGTGCCGCTGAATGGGCCTGCCTGGGCGTGGTTCACTTCAGGGCCGGTCGTCAGAGAGGTACGTCTCCTCTTATTTGACGAGTTCTCAGGAGGCGGCCCATTTGCGTTGTACCCGAGAGGAGCACTCGGTTTTGACATTGGTTGTGTGAGAGAAGCTCCGGATTGCGAGATACCTAGGTTGGAAGGGCAACCCGACTGGGGGGCCACTGGTCCGTTGCACCCTTCGTGCGTTCTCGGATAGTTCTCGTAGGCGGTGCCTTTAGGATTGCCGAGAGGCAGTCTGCCAGGGAGAGGGGGCTGGATCTCGGTATGTTTCGATATTGAGCTTCGTGCCAAGAGAGGAATATTCGAGCAAGTCCAGCCGAACGTGTTTTTGTAGTTATTCAAGCTGGGCACGTCGATGATGCCCGATAAACCGTTGCGCTGTATGTCCATGAATACTTGCTGGAGAAAAGCCTGGGTAATCAAGTGTCGACGCCCGATGCCTTCCATCGCCTGGACGATGAATTTGAGATTCTGCAAGTCTGCCATCGACAGCCCGTTTTGTGGGTCGCATTTGGCATTGTACACGTACACGGACGCAGCTGAGTACAGTGATAGAGCAACGAGGGGGCTTTTCTATAATACGTCGTTAGAACAACAACAAGACAGAGGCAACAGAGGCGGTCATCGACTTACGTAGCCGGAATTCGTGTGACTTGTCAGCTTGACAATGTTGACCACCTCCTCGGCTGCAGTACGCAGTCGGAGTTGTGAAGCAGTCTTCAGTTGTTCAGGCAGTTTGTTTTGCTCTATTCTATCGATCGCGGCGTGGTGCAGGCAGATGATGGATGCATGGAGGTTGAGGTTCGTGTGGACGGCCGTTGGGTCTTTCATGCTTTGGGGCAGACGAAAGCGTTCGGGCAAGAACATGAAGGCACTTGACAAGAGATTATCAATGTCCCTGTGACGCTTCCAAAACTCGCCGTACTCGAAGTCTCCGGGTCGGTCGTTGGGTCTCTCCCAGTGAACATGCTTCAGGAGCATGTTGAAGACGTAGCAAATGATAACCGCGCCCGCGAATGTGGAGTACGACGCCCCCTTGAAGGCGTCCTGCATTGTCGACGTCTTCTCTTCACGAGCTGAGTTGAATGCCTCCTCGGACGATGGCAGGTGAGTGGTAATCTGTCGGATTAGCGATTTTGTCTCGAGCATGCCAGGAGAGACTTACCTCGTTTGGATCGATCAAAGTCGGCCAGCCCGTTGATATACTGGCGTGACAGTCAATGCAGTAAGCTCCCCAAAACGCCCGCCTTCTCTCCTCCAGGTCAACCCACGACGTTGGCGGCGCGAGCGTTGGAGCCATCTCTTGGCCATCCCCATCGATGCGATGAAGACCCATCATCTCTACAAGACGCACGCATTTTGCTGAACTCATGGCGGCTCTCGTGAAATACATACACCTCGCTTCGTCTGTCGCAATTAGCGCCCAAGCTTGCGCATGCTGAACCGTCAAAAAGTGCTCGCCATAGCCTCTCATCTCATCTGCGTCTGCGTATTGCCGAGCTCGCTTGTAGAAGATCTCGTGATACTGGGAATACTTTTCATGTCCGTTCGAAGCCATGGCCCAGACGGCATACTGCAGGCACATGGGCGGACGCTTGTGAGGCGCCGAGTAGAACGACTGGAAGTACCTGCCGGGATGGATGATTGGAATAAAGTGCTGCTGTCGCTCGAAGAAACTCTTGTTACTATTTAAGAAAGTTAGACAAATATTCACACCAAGGGCAAGGGATTGCCCATACAGATCTTCCATCATCTCAAAAGGGGGCAGAGCCTCCGAAAGACCAAGGCCAATCAACTCTCCAGATGACTCGCCGAAGCTGGGCATTTGCGGTTGAGGCTCTGGGATATCATGAGCTGACAGTCCTGCTTGGAGGTCTGCAGTTTCACCAGCGAAGCCGTTTTGCATCGCGAGAAATGTGTCGATGTCGACTGTGAAGTCGTCCATACCAACATTGATCCGACTGTCCAGATCTCCTGCTGTTGCAGCTGTCTCATTCACCTTGCCGGCCTCCTTACTCGCCTCCTTGAGAAGGTCTTCCACCTGAGCTACACATCGTGAGCGACGTCCAGCCACGGAGATACAACTGCCATACCTAGCCTCTCCTCGAGCTCCTTTACGTTTCGTCGTTTGAACGCGGGCTTCCTTCTCGACTCAGGGTACACGCACTCTCCCTTGACTTTCACGCAACGGCTGCATGCCGGCTTCACTCGGTCGCACTTGAGCTTCCGGGACCGGCAGGTAACGCACGCCAACGGCTCGGAGCCCTGGCCGACAGGGCCGGTCTCCGCTTGCTCGCCGCCGTCGGTATCCATGATGCGGCGGCGAAATTTTGCATCCGAGACTGCAGCAGGCGATATCAGCGCGCCGAAAGTGGGCCTCAGCTCCGAACCTGCATCCAGGAGCGGGCTGTGTTGGGTGTCAGACTCGACGTATACGGATGCAATGACGCAGATGCAATGGCAGTACGTAATACCGCAGACAACATCAGGTTACCTGAGTTGTCAAGTCACTGGAGATGTCTTCTCGGGCTATCTCTTCTATGGCCAACACGCTGGCTAGGCAGATGCATGCCCATCTCGATGACCAATGTCGGACATCTTTTGCGCCGATTGCCCGAGAACGGGACTTAGCGCGCCGTCCTCATTGGTCATTTGCGGAATGCATGAGGTGGGAATTCCGGCGTGGCCAGCACAAGTGGAATTTCCGGCGTTAAGCGTTCGTTCCCCGCCGCGACCTCACGTGAGCTGCTGTTTCCTCATGCCAAGTGTCTTCAATGGTGCTTAAACTGCGTCCCGTTGAAGATCGTCAGCCGCCACGTCCCGTCCGTTCTTCCGCTCTGCCGCCGTCTTTTGTGGGTCTATCCGTACATCAACTCCATATCGATTCCACATGGCCTGGCCGAGACATGGCGAGCTTCCGATCACATCGGTACGCAACCGGCTCCGTCTCGGCCGAGCGGTTGAGTCGGTGCCTCTGCCAAGCCTGCCTCTGGTGACCCGCCGATCAGGAACAGCACGCCGACCGCAACCCTGCCGGTCCGGGGGTCTCGGAGGCAAAAGGCAAAAAGGGTGATCGACAGCAGCTCTCGCAGCCTCACCTACATCTGTCACAATAGGTCTGAGCTAATCGCAAACCGTCAAACCGGCTTGTCAATGTCCCCAGGGGCTAATGTATCAGGTGGATGTGGCAGCCGAAGAAACGCCTGCATTGGCGATGACGAAGTTTTGAGTTCAAGTCGTTGAAAGCCTAAAAGTCCCCGTGGCGTCCCAGGAACCGACACCACTGCGCTGGACAAAGTTGCTGTGCATGCTGCACTCTCGGGCCAGGTCAAGGAGCTGAGCGACTGCCATCCCAATTGTGCCGTCGCAGTAAGTTGAGCGCGCAGAGGACTTCAGCGAGCGTCCCTGGCGGTCAGATGGACTGTTCGCACCTTGGTGGGATGATCAAGGGCGATCTTCTGGGACATCATTCGTCAGGCCTGGTGGTCTGAAACTCTGTCCTTCCTCGAAGGATTACGGGAGACTCGGCGAACACGTCGGTGAAGGGCGTCAGAGAACGGCAGCCACTGACGACGGCGTACGCCAGAATGAGCATCAAGCCAGGTCCTCAAGCCCGCTGTCTGTTATCGTGAGGCCGATTTGCAACGGGGGCGGGAAATTAACAACCAAGCCCGCCGAGTGATTGCCACTAGCCTTGGTCCCTTTCGGACTAAAACATGGACAAGCGTGATGGATTGACGTCTAGGCGCGCCACATTTCGCATCTTGCCCACGCTTTTCACAACATCCTCGGTCTACCAGAGGGCGCCCCAGAACGAGCCGAAGAAAGGCGAGACGAGACATTCGGAGATAAAAACACGCAGCCACCGCGACTTGACAGCTGCAGACGGCATCCCAGTCTAGCGTCAGCAGCCGGACGACAGCGTTAGACGGCCCAAGGCTGGTGATCGACCGGGTCTGGCCCGAGTGAGCAGTTGACACAATTTGGCGGGGCGACGATGACTGCATGAATGCGGCTATTAGCTGTGACAGAACGCCGCCAAGGTCCATCTACCCATGGATGAAGCTTGGCCGCCACCGCCTGTTGACTTGGCCAAACGGCCCACGGGATCGACTTGCACGACATCGATGGGCGTTGGAAAGGCGCTGGGAATTTGAGAGGCTGTCACCGGCGAATTTGTGGAAAGCCAAAGCCCGAAGACTGAAGACTCGAAGCGGGTCTTGCGGTAGTCGGCGCTAGGTATGCTTGACAAGCCGGCCGGGCCTGGGCTTTTCGGGCTTTGGCGCTCGGCTGGTTGATCAGGATCGACGGTGGTCCAGGCTTATGATCTTCCCGCCTCTTGGTCAGCAGACAAAAGTGAATTTGGAGATTCTCGAAGATTTGCAGCATGGGTAGGCGCTCTGGGAGCTGAAGACTGTGCGCAGGCAGCCAAACAGCACGCTCATCATGGCGGCGAGCAACTGGTGAGGAATCAACTGCCAAGTTGAATGAAAGGGGTAGAAGGGGGCTCCGTTAGGTGGTTTCACCAAAAATATGCTGCCCAGCTCACTGCCAATATTCCTTCAGACTTGTCATCTGAGCGCCCTCGTGTTCTGGACGCGATCCATCCAGCCACCTTTCGGACCAAACTCCATCCAGTGAGATGTGAGGGACGACAGCTATCCGGTCAGGGTACAAGAGACAACGGGGATCGTCGGCCGTTGCGATTCAGGGCAGCCCTTTCCTCGGGACTAAGTTCGAGGAAGAGAGACGAGCCGATGCGGGTTAGGCCGGGGAAGCATGGCAAGTAGCTGCTGCTGGTGCAGTGGAGCCAGCGGCGGACGGGTGTGAATCGGGAGGGACGTCAGAGTAAACTATATTTTGGAGAGGGGGGGATGGACAACTCACACTTTGAAGGCTGTCACGCAGTTGAGTTTGTCAAACGATGGCATGCCAGGATGGAGCGACAACTTGCGGCGGTTTATTCCCAAAGAGGCGACTTGTTCGTAGAGAGGGAGTGCGTGTAAGGCTGCAGGTCATGACAGTCGACATGGCAGCGGCCAAGTGGTGGTGATGGCGGCGGATAGTCTTGGCCAGTGCCCCCGAGTCAAGGTCTAAGGACGACTCCATTATCATGACAAAACACACAACGATGGTGCCGATAGTTTGAGGGTGCCTTAGTGCCGAGCAATGCCTTGGGTCAAGACTTGGGAAATGTGGACGGTAAGGCAGGTAGATATCCGAGTTGGCTTGACGGGGCGTCCTATGTCTGACTGGGAATTAGCGTTGTATTGCCTTAGATTGGCCAGGTGCACGACACGTATGTACGTAGCGCACTTGTGCATGCGTCCGGATACATGTGCCTTCCAAGTAGGTTGACAGAGAGGCACGCCGTATTGTGGGTGGTGACTGGGCAATATGAGCATGCGCGCATGTTGGGTAAGGCGAATTGGGTTTGAGGCCCCCATTGACCCAGTGACGAGAAGACGATGTGGCAGCCGCTGCACCTGCCTGGGTAAGGTGCCTACCTACCGCAATAGGTACCTACCTAGGGTAAGGTCGAGGCACCCGACCTTATTAGTGTCGGGTAAGGAAGGCTAGGGATGCAGCAAGCTGACCCCCGGGGCCATGCCGCCATCCAGGGTTGAGGAGGAGATGAATGAGTAAGACTCAATGGCTGCTAGCATGGCAATAGTTGACGTGGTACGGAGTAGTATTTCCCTACTTGGGCGAAGGCGCTGTAGGCGATGTCGTGATGGTTTGGGTTTGCGTCCATGTTGTCGATGGCAGCGGATGGAGCGAGGGAGTTGCTTGAAGCAATTGTGGACTCGCGACACACTGCCTCGAATAAACGGGGAACGAACAGGGCGTCTGCCAGATTGTGAGATGGGGAAAAGGGCGATCACTGGCGGGTGATAGGCGGAAATAGGCAGACCAGGGCCTCTGGGCAGCCTCAACCGGATCATTCCCCACTTGTCTCCTTCCCGACCCCTTGCGCTGCCCTTGAAGACTTGGCCGCCCTTGCAATATTGGGCAGGACAGGTGCCTCTCTCCAAAAAGTCTTCCGTACTTGCTTGACTGGGAAGGAACATGAAGCTCTGGTGGGTCCCGCGGAAAGGACCCCCAGCCAACCTAAGGCGAACACTCACGGCGCCAAGTGGAGACTGAGGCACTCTACCACTCTACCTTACCCTAGCCACCTAGATACGTACCTCGATTTGCAACTCCAAGGCACAGGTCATCGCCAATCTCTTCGTAGGTGAAATCTTCCATGGAAGCCAGCTGGACAACACAACCATCCACCACTGCGACACCGTCATCCACTCACAGCCTCCCATTGCCGGTCTTCGATATCGACAAGTTGCAACACCGCAGAGTCGCATCCTGAACGGCCTCGCTCCTATCGTGGCGTCGCATCGCACGGCGTCTATCCGACCAGGCCATCCCCGGCGTGTCAAGGCCAATGACACTTACTGCTGGTGCTGTTCGTGATGCCGTTGACACGCGGCGGTACACGCCCCCAGGCCCCCTCGGTCTCCCCTTCGTCCGCTGCAAGATGAGCTCTGACAGGAGGCAACCTCATTTCCGATCCGATACGTTGCCGAAAGCTCAAGGGGTGCCCAGGGGGAGGGTGGCAGGCACTTGCACTCAAATCACAAATCATCAAACTTGAAGATTCGATACCCGATATCCGCTTTCCGAGGGCTGGACAAATCTCAAGAGGACCAAGGAACGAGAGGATGAGAAACCCACACGACAGAGTACGAAACGTCAGGGTCTTTCCGGTACTGCAGCACTGCTCAAAGCGCGGGCGCGCCTGTTCCACCAATACCCCGATAAACGTTTCTGCTCCATGGAACACTTTGAATCCGTCAAAGGAACAAGCTGAGACAAAGACGCCCATCCTGCTAACACACCAACAGCACTTGCCAGAATGCGCCACATCCACTCTGCCATGCGAGTCTGGCCGATCAAGAGACACGCCACAAAAGCCAAAGACCGAGAGCACGACGCTATCGCTGTTGGCGCAACGACCTGCCGACCTCCTTTGCCCTACGAAACACCTCCGGCATCCGTAATCGACCACCGAGTGACGTATCCAACCTTGCATTCCACAGCCTGTACTGACGACAAGCTCTATTCCGCCTCAATCTTCTTCAACACTCTCGGGCTGTAAATCATACGCCATCAAATTGCGTCTTTTCCGCTCCCGGAATTCCCATGCCATGCCCAGTCCTCCATTGTGTGTATCTGACCGCCACAGAAACCTTGCTTCATCCCAGCATGCAGTGTCATGCCGCATGCTTTGCTCATCCGTCCTCGCACTCGCCTTCGTACTCAACTGGCTGCCCTTGGCTGCTAGACTCAGGGATGGGCCGCTGATCTCCGAATCCCCTCAGAGACCCGCTCACCGTCTCCCATTGACT